TTACTGCTTGTCAAACGACAGTGGGGTCCAAAAATCAAAATTTAATCCTTGTTACATCATGATTTTGCAGTCCAATATGCCGACATGAGAAGTCACCAACCTTCTAACGTATGAAAATTGTACAACAAGCCTTCTTAATCACTCAGTCACAACGTAAAGACCAAGTATTGGAATTCGAGACCTGACGTGGTCATCAGTTACAATATCCACGGCGCAGACATCGACCAAACTTCTTTTGAAGCCCATATGAAATCAACAGAAAGAGTGAGGAAAAGGGCACTTCAATGAGCATGGGAACATCCTGTCAAATCATAACTTCATCAAAAGTGCGTAAAAACAACGAAAAAGCACATACGCAAAAATTACACGTTTCATCTTTTTAGGTTCACGTGTTGAGCTTGTAGTTCTGTTGCTAATGTACACCGCAGGCGAAGACAAGCTGTTCCTGCTTTTCTTTTCGGTGCATCAAATTTTCCACGGAGAGAAATGGTGCTTAGTTTAAACAGAGATAAAATGAACGAAACTACAGAAACACGTTGTACAGTTTGAAAGCACGAGGGTTAAGTTGAACCAGAATTAAGACACAATTGACGGAGTCGAAGAAGAACACCATACTTTATAATGAACAAATAGACGAGTTGATAATTTCGTAATTCCGTCTGCTTTCACATTTGTCTACAAAGGTCGGTGCACGTACTGGAATTGCATTGTGGTCTCCTATTTCACGGAAATGTAAATTTTGTCTCCTCGAAAGGAGGTTACATAAACACGGATCTGAAATTTCCCGAGTCCATATTTGAAAGGAAGAGTGGAATTAACTGGAAAATATCCATGCCACTTTACATAGTAAAATGTTTGGCTATAAACAATGGGTTCGGCCACAGTTAAACACTAACCAAATAGGAGTGTCTACAGATTTATTTCTCCTTGTCTATAATGCCCCACCCCCGGGGGAACAAGCCTCAAGCTGAGGGATGTGTGCTCCCCCTCAATTACGCTACTGCTGCGTTACAGCTTATGCCAACACAGCTTTTAAATGAAGCACAAGCATCAAGGGGAAAACGAGAAAAATGTAAACAAAATCACAAGGGGGAGGACGGGAGAGATGAGGAAACGTGCAACGGAAAAAGGATATAAATCGCCAGTTTCTGGCATCTATCACGTGAAAACAGTTCCATGTTGGCGATGATGTCATCATTTTGGATACACCCCTAGCCTAAGGATACTTTTGGCGACGCAGTGTTGTGAATTAGCAGTTTTTTAAACACCAATTAAGGGTGGCATCTTAATTGGACTGCCAGCTAGTATTTTTCTGTGAATTTTGGTGTAATTGGGCCATTGAAGTTCTCTCTTTCGCAATATCATTTTTTTCCAAAAAAGCAATGGACTTCATAACTACTTTTTCTTTTTGTACTTTTCAGGTTAATATATCTTCAGAGAAAAATTTTCAAAAGTCCAATTATAGACGAAAATTGGAACAAAAACTGACAGTTGGTGAAATAAGCTGAAATCTGCAGGTTCGACGGGTTCCCTAAGTACCTGCAAGACCTGAAACGAGTTGAACCGTTGCTGCGTTTTCATGGTGTTTCATAGTCCCTGACGCCCATGGCAGTTTATTTACTCATAAGAAACCTTCAGTTTCTGCAATCACTGTTTCGCGCGAGAAAATGAAAAGGGAGCAGACTTAGAAGCAATCTTCGTATGCTCTGAGACTTAAGGAA